ACGGTATCATCAATAGGATTCCAAATAAAATCCACTATAATTTGTTTGAATTTTTTCGTAGAAAATTTCTATAACACCTGCAGCTTTTTTTTATTGCAGCACAGTCGTTATTTTGTATTTTTCGTGAGATAGCGCCCTACAGGTTTTTACACATAGTTTTTCCATTTTTTTATTTTTTTTATTTTCACAGCTGTTCAACCTGACTCGTCGAACGATAAAAAAAAAAAAAAAAAAAAGACTTTAAAAAAAATACCGAGTCACTCCGCCGTCCAAAGCAGTTTGGCGCTTATCAGCTCGGCTTCCAGCAACTTCGATAAAAACACGCTCGCGCGTGACTGCCCGCTAAAAAACGACGATCGAGAGAAACACAGTCCGCGCGTACCTGCAAACGATTAGAAAAGCTAATTCTGGGAACGAAAGAAGAAAAAAGGGAATAACTCAGCCGTCGAACGAACAATCGGGAGCATCGTCCCTTACACACCCAAAACAAACAGCAGACAGAGAGAAAGAGAGAGGAAGCGTTGCCAAATTCTCGCAGCCATTGTCGCAGCGAGCCGCCTCAAATGGCTGATTAATGCTTCGACTGCGCGGCCCCGGTCCAAATGCACTGGGGCACAAAGAGCCCCCGTGCCAAGAGCTAGGCTCCACGTGCTACTGATGGCACACTCGGGCTGATGAAAAACTTCCTCCCCCCCCCTCCCCCCGTCTCGGTTTATCCGACAATTTGCGTTTTCCCGACCACTGGCTCGGGAATCGAGGAAGGGGAGAAAAAATGTGCCCTGGAAATGCACCCACATCGCAAAGCTCATCCGTCACAACAAGCAGCTAAGAGCCCTTTAAAGGCCGGTTGGCTACCTCGTCGGGGCTGGGACGCAGTCCCGCGTGAAATCGCTATAATTACGAGACAATGAACACTGGGGGGCAGGAGAAGGACCTCGCGACGAGCTCTTCCTCACGCGTCGTTAGCTTCGCGAGCCGAAATTATACCACGTGAAACAAGGGAGGGATGCGCGTGCCCACCCCCTTTCTTCGTGTTTGCATTTTTTTTTTTTTTTTTTTACAAGTGGCTTATACGTGAATTCCAGATGCTGCGCAGTTGGAGCATATGTATACGTGTGGATACAGCTAACGGTACACCAGCACTGGAATATACATTTCGAGAAGATTCTTGGCTTGTATTTTTTTTTTTTTTGCGGCGATTTAGTTGGGCAAACACACGTGCGCCGTATCGTTTCGGAAATAATATTTGAAATCAAAATAAGATGAGTTGTTTTAAACAAATGCAAACATTTGCGGTCGTAAGATAAACCACATCTCGCGCGGATAGGTGTTATACTTATCGTGTTCCAACGAAACGATAAAGGTGATCCCGAGTGGAGAGACAATCGCGAATGTTTTTGTTGTTGCATTACTCCGACGATGGCCAACGTTTTCGGGAAAGATGAAACATCGTTTTCTCGCTAAAACGACAAAATGACGCATACGTTATGTGGACTCTTATCGCAAACAAGTTTCAGAGAGTGCACGTAACTGTACAGCTGACTCATAGTGTTGTATGTACGTGCGACGTAATGTATGCCAATCGCGTTGAAATACATATACCCCACTCATCGCACAATGATTAAAATAGCGCAAACTGTGAGGTTGTACCTCGTGATGGGTATATTCAGAACAAGGATAGAAGAGAGGTTCTTATCCTCTCGAGCACTCGTGGAATGTCAAAAAACTCGCTAAGCAGTGCCTATCCCCCGAAATTAACCAGCACAAAAGAAGCAAACGAAGCCAGACGCGCGTCCACGAAAATCCGAGCTCCGTAATCTCATTTTGCGCGAAAAAAGGCAAATTTTTTTCCCATCTTTTTCCAGCGTGATATAGAAACCCCCAGCTAAAGGAGACAGGCGCGTTATTTTAAACCGTATACAAATGTTACACGTCTACTCGAAAGTTCAACGTCTCCCAACAAAGTATGAGGAAAGACTCGGGCCCAGAAGCCGTACATGGAATCGGAAACTTCGACCGTAACTCGCTGCTCCTTCTGTAGGTATAATATACATACACGCAGATATACCTTTACTTCGACAAAGTACGTATAGCCACGTATATGCGGGACCTAATTTGCTTAGCGAGGCAGGGTTTTGGCTGCTACGTGTATATATACAGCCATCGTATGAACAATATGCCGATGATAACTCAATAATTGCAATTTTAGTTCGGAATCGCTCTGCTAAACGATGCTATTGATTTTAAAACTCGAATTGTTTATTAAATTACTTTTTTTTTTTTTTTTTCTCTTTTCGCAGACTATTTCAACGTTACGTTCAATTTCTCGACACCGAAATTTTGGCACAGGTATTATTCATCGGTGTTTTAAGCGCTTTACTAGTAATTTTTGTCCCTAAAATAAGTGCAATACATTTTGTAAAGTATTTTTACATAGTTCATTGCAAAGTATTGGAAATAAAATTTTTTTACGACTATTTTTTGTGAACTATTTTTTTGTCTTTCCAATTTTTTTCAAGCAATGTTTTGAATATTGATTAAAAAAAAAAAAAAAAAAATCTCAACATAATTATAATGCATTAAATTTCTAGCAAAAAATACAGACAGTATTCATGCTCAAGTCTAAAATATGAAAATTACATTTTCCGTGTACCACAGTTGTGATTCCTCGTTATAAAATATAGGTATGGATAGGGTAACAAAGGTGCATGTCTTCTAGTAAAAATAAAAATGACCAAACATCGGATTCCCGTCGCTATCCATTACCTCACGTAATAATGCGCAACACAAGTCGTGAGTACATGGTCGAGTATCTGTATATTGTTTGCGACGGTCGTCTTTGAAAACGAAGCCATATGAAATATTTTAAACCAGCAAAGCCCGTAAATGTGGGACACGTGATGCGATCTGAGCTTGTTTTGCGTGACAAGAAAACCTTAATTTTTCATCATAAATAAAAATAAAGCTGCCGCGCGAAGCGTGAACATACTATTACAGGTTAATCGCGTGATTCTATTAGTATACCTACTATACTTTGCCCTCCATATAATCACATTTATTCATTAAATTTTTATAGCGCACGTAAAAAAATTATTTTCGAGTCAAACGGCGTGGAAAATTTCCTATTTTATCTCATTGCTCGTAAATATTTATTTTCTTCAATCATATCGTTTCATACTACTACTCATAAATAAAGTCTACATCAAAAAAAGACGCTCGGATTTACAGCACTCGAAATCATAAGCAATAAAATACCTTTAACAAACACGATTGCGGTGACATCATTTTAGGCTCGTCTTCAAAAAAAATAATTCCACGGACAGGCTATGCATATACATCTCGACGAATTTAAGTGTACGCACCCGTGACTCTCGACATTCCCCCCCCAACATGCGTATACATTTTTTGCGTAATGTCACGCAAGCGCGAGCTTACGTCATTGCAAATCTATAGTTTTCCATCCGACGAAACAGATTGGGTGCAAAGGCGCGCTTGTCTTTTTATACGTCGCAGTTCGCCGTCGTGTTAATAAAAAGTTTTGCAGCGTTAATCCGTTTGTCTTGGGTGTACACCCGCCAAAGAGTAACGAGCGTGATGATAATATACTTTTCATTGCCAAAGAGAGAGAGAGAGAGAGAAAAAAAAAGAGTGCCATTGTAACGGATTTTAAACAAAGGTTTCCGGGTGCTATAAACGTCGCTGCGCCCATACGAGGATAATGAAAGTCTTTACTCCCGCCGATCATGGATATTAACATTAATACTCCACGCATTTTATTGATCGTTAAATTTACAAGTGATCCCGCTTACCGGTGTTTGCTTTGAAATTGTGGTATTTTGCGCGGTACGATAAACTTACGATATCTTGGGTACGACTTTCATAATGTTTGTCGAAAGAATTTGGGATGAGATGCAAGGGTTGCCTCTTTGCTCGTTAGTTCTTTTTTTTTTTTTTTTTTTTTTTTACAGCCAAATATGCCATATAAACGCATGGGATCACATTACGTTGGACCATACGTATGTGGCGAAGAAAAAGCCGATAACACGCTCGTGTCGCACGAACTACCTTCTCGTACTTACTGTACAAAAAACGCCCACCCGCTCGTTGTCTTCTCTTCCTTCCCGGCAAAGAATACATGTGTCGTTGGACTTACATAGTTTATATGGCGTAACGTATATACGCATCCATCGCGAATTTTCAGATAATATACGTACATTAACGTATATATATTTTATATTGTATTTGATTATCCATTTGTCATGTGGTTATATGGTATTGTCAGTAAAAAAAATTTTTTATTTTAAATTAATAGTTGAGAAACGCAGTACACGCGAGTGAAAAAAAATAATAAAAAAGAAAATATCAGACGCGGAATCCTAACTATATTTGTATCTTGAACGGCTGATCACGACTAATTTGACGCACAGAAATAAAGTGTAATGTCGATGAAACAAAATTAATCCAAACTAAACAGCTGTAAGAAAAAAGTACGAACGAAGCAAAACCTCGAAATAAGTAAGTAAGGTTCTAGAAAAAAAAAAGGAGAAAAACGAGCCCAGTAACAATGAAAAAGCATTTATCTCACTAACGAACAAAAAAATGATGAAACGTAATTATATGTCAACTCCGTGTTCCCTCCACCACCTCCTCTTTTCAGCCTCACTCCGAAATATACATATGTGTGTGTATCTATTTATACGTATAGTGTGCAAAGCGTGTATACTCAATACCCGTGTATTTATTAAACCCAGAGTGTTTTTAAAGTAGAAGAGGTAAAAAAGAGAGTGGGGGGGGTGGATAAAAAACACGGGAGAGAGAGAGAAGTGGTGGCACACACATCAGTAGGTATACGTGCACATATAGGTAACAGAGGGAGGGACGGAAGCAACGACGGCAGTGTTTTCCCGTTGCTATACGCCTCCCCACCCCCTTCATCGCCCCGCATACGCTTGACCTTCGCTGTCGGCCGGCACAGGCCTCTCCTGTATACCCGGCGGCCCGATTGCCGGATCATCAGTACACGCCGAGTCTTTTCACGGAGAGCAAACTTGCATCAGCTTCCCCGGGCACAGTCGCAACACTGTTTTTTTTTTTTTTTTTTTTTCTTTTTTTTCAATTGCATTGTATTTTTCGATCGAGAGTTAACCATGAAGAGTGCGGTCGGTGTCCTCTTGCTCGTAGGCGTTCTTGCGCTTGCGCAAGCTTTTCCAGGTAAGGACGGACAGTGCCGTTTTTTCTCACTTTTCATCGTTTATCTCACGAGAATCTACTCGAGGGCTTTTTTTAGTTGAGCGCCATGATCGATTACCTATGGTTGGTTAGGGCACGTATTTTACACTTTGTCCAATCGAGCTGTTATTCAAATGCAAAAGGAGAAAAAGAAAAAAAATAACATATTGGTACCATTGCGAGAGAATAAATTTGTCCAGTACTTAGTAGTAAAAAAAGGGTAGGCAAAAACCGTTAAACTCAAGCGAAAAAGATGTAAGCTTGTTGGGAAAAAAACAAAAAGCTCGACTCATCGACACAGCCGCGTCTTTCGTTTTCTCTACGTATGGATGTACTCCGCCGCTAAAAACCGGATAAACGAGTGCGCCGCAACGAGTTCCCCTTAAAAACGTCCACCTCGCGATTTTATACATAGCAAAGTGTCAAGTTCAACGAGCCACGGTGTTTGAATACTCGTTCGAGAACAATGCGTCGATTCACTGCTCGCCCCCGAGCTTTTGATTATTTGACTTTGGCTCGCAAAGGTAAATTCCAACGGGACGTTTAATTATTTGCACACCGGAGGAGCGTAAATTCAACGGAAGTGGTTGTTTCATATAGACTTGGAATCCCAAAAATACAAATTATTTCTTTCGAGTCCGTGTACTTTATTTTCCTTATCCGTAAAAATCGACGCTCCAAGTGTTTTTCGGGAGGATGCGTCTTACGGGTGGATATTTTTAAAAGCCGCGAGTCATTTGTGTTGTGAAGAAAATAAATCGTCCAAGAATCGCAGCGATGAGTCAGATTTCAGTAAACACATGCGCGGGGACACACACTACTATACGTATACACACACAAGTGGTTATAATAATAATATGCGTGCGCGTTTTTACATAACGTACATGTATGTACGATCGGGTGATTTGTTGCAATAAATCGAGCGGACGAGATTGCTGAGTCAGAAAATATACTTGGTAAAAGGAAATGAAATAAATCATTACGGTCGCTTGAATAAAAAGTTGTTTTATACATTTTTACTTTTATTTGGTGAAAAAACACATAAAAATAAAACAAAATAAAATAAACTTTGAAACCAACGAGTTGAAAAAAAAAAAATATATATATATATACGATTTTCTGTTCGTTTTTCAATTGGATGGAACTTAAGTTTACCATTATTGACGTACGAGTAGTGTTTGTACAGGTGATGACATTTTTCCTCGCGATGCACCTGCTCGAACTCGAGTTGTACGCGTCTCGGGGTAAAAATAACCCAAACAGTATAGGTACGTGACGCAACGGAGAGACGCGTCGCAGAAAATAATGTTAATGAGAGCCATTGTGCGGTTCGATTGAGTATTCTCCGTGAGTCCTATACATACTTACTGCGCACAAAAACATGGTGCTGCTTGTCATTCTAAGCTCGCAGGCAGTGCGTCGGAGAAAGGAAACATTTAGCATTGAGAAACAATTGTTTCATCCAATACCAAACTAATCGATATTAGTCCATGGTGTTGTCTAAAAAAAAAAAAAAAAAAAAAAGTCGAGGCATGACTGTAAAAAAACAACTTCTGGAAGCATGTGGATCGAGCTAATAAATTTACGCTGTCGAGGCAAAAGTTAACGCAGCTGCTCTCAATATTTTTCTCTCGTTGAAAGCGATACGTCGCATCATTCATCTCGAAAAAATACGAGACTTTGTTCCAGTGAAGCAGCTCATAAATATAGACGCGCTAGTTTATTTTAACGAGCAAGTAAAAACACCGAGAGCTGCTATACACAATTATAAGACACTCAAGTCGTCGGCGCATATACATATATACGGAAATTGTTGAAGGCGCAATTTTATTATCTACAGGAGGGAAAATGCATGTTTACGCCAGCAGTCTACAAGTATACTGCTATATTTAAAATTCGTGATTTGCTTGTCCGCTGGTGATAATTAGTGGGTGACGCTGCGTTGTGACAAGACGAGAGCGTCTTTGGTCGCCGGGAAGCATCTACTTACTTATGCGTATATATATATATATATATATATATATATATATTTCGCATGCATCGACCGCCTAATCTCTGTAATTTTAATTGGATTTCTTTTTTCCACTCTGCTCGCTGTTGTTGTATCTTTTTTGTCCTGGGGTTAAGTTCGTTCGCTGCTGATAAAAGTCAGTTTTTCTACACCACCTAATTGAATTCCAAAAAAAAAAAATCATGTAAAAATATATAATAAAACATCTGAAATGCTTACCAACCCAACATTCTTGTGAGCCGCAGGAGGAGTAACATTGGTTGTTTTTTTTCGCTCTTGGTTTACCATTGAATGTATGAAATACATCCTGGAATTGCTCGTACAAAAAATTATACAAATTCAAATATAACGACCATGTATATCTATATACACTAAGGAAAAAAACTGTCGGCAACAATAAATTGTACACTGTTGTTATCATCGCTGCTCTCAAGTAACGTCGCTTCCACGAAAAATAGTGCGAAAACTGATACAACACATTTCTCCTGAATCGTCCATTCGATTGAGTAACAATTACACTCAAGTGTATAATATGCATCACCCAACACGATTCGCGGAAACTGTGTATAAGCATACACAGTACATCTGCACACGATATCGCATGTGTGTACATCTAGTTGCAACCACGCCGAGCAGTATAATTCAATTACTCGCGTTTGAGAGGAAATAGAAAAAAAAAGCCCCCGGTGGTCAATGGAACGAGCGTCCGTTTATTATAGCCGCGCACGCTCGCGGAAGCGATTTCTTTTTCGCGGAAGGCGTTCTGTTTTATCGCAAAGTACCTACTGCATTGCTCACACGATGAAACTTTTCCTCCTTTTCGCCCACATTCCAGGGGTCAAGCGGTGTTTGTACAGCGAGACCTATACACCACGCTTTGTTTCTTTTCGCGAAGCTTTGGAAAAAAAAAAAAAAAAAAAAAACCCTCCCCAGAGTACAAAAATCACACAGGGACGGCTCTTTTGTCCCCCGTAATTATAACTCCGCTCGGGCTCCGAATCAACAGTGCTCGGTCACTTGTACCCAATGTTAAACTATTCAACCATTATTACGCGCGAATAAAACTTTCCCGACGATGAAAGTACAACAAAAATTACAGGCGCCGTGTGGGGTGCGGTTTCGAGGGGGGAGCGATGAAAATTATTTTTCTATTACAAGCCCCCCCCCGTGTTTTATTGCGTATGTGTATTTATACGGGTGCGGACGCAAAAGGGGAAAAAAAGGAGCGTCTAGGCCGCAACGATCGTAATAAATCTTGGCGGTGGTTTTGCGATTTTTCTTCCCACCTCATGGGACCATTTTCGCGAGGGAAAGCGCAAAACGGTGGCGTTAACACCCAAGCTCTTCCCCCGTACATGTAGCACCGCAAAAATTATATTTCTCCGACTCTCCGCTGATGTGCACGATCTTTCAATTTTCGCTTGTATATATATGTACGCGCCAACGCAGCCGGAAATTAAACGCAAACTCAGCCGGTGCGTTTTAATGCTCATGTACAGCCGCGGCAATTGCCATGCAGTCGCGGTCTCTGACAGTCGTACACGGAAAAGCTTTGTTCCTACCAAAGCGACCTGTACAATACTGTTTCTCCGCGCTTTCGGGACTCTTTTTTTTTTTTTTTTTTTTTCCATTACGAGCCCGCATGTGTAGTTAAAATTGAGGCCACGGCCTCGGGCGACTATTGAACTCTGCATTTTCACTTAGCAGTTGCTGCTGTTTGTTTTTCACATGGATACATATAGTATACGATGTGTCTGCTATTGATCATTTTGTCGTCACTTGCATTGCTATTAGGAATGAAAGAGGGGCTTTTAGCGTTTCATCAATGCTGCGGAAGCGAGTCTTGGAAATAGATAAATCAATTCTGCAGCGATTGGGAGTGATGATTATTAGATGGCGGTAAGCCCCCCCCCCTCCATCCCAAAAAACAATTACAAAGCTTTTAAACGGCTATGAATAAAACGGGGCGATTTTATCGTTTCTCCGATTCCGGTCGATGGTTCGTTTTCCAGGTGGAAAAATCCTCTGGCACCACCTAGCAGGAATTGCGAATTCGCGTTACGTCTCGTTGATTTTCGAGCCGAAAATACATATACGTGCCACGTCAACTGTCATGTTTACGCTCGAAGCGATATACGTATCCGAGAGGTCAGGTCGGCGAAAAAAACAATGCTTACCATGCACTTGCCTTTTCTGATCGATACTTTGAGAAATTTTTCTTTCCATCCCAATGCTCATTTTTCCCTGCCTGTCCGTTGTTTTTTTTTTTTTTTTTTTTTCCCTTCAGGTGCGCGTGTAGCTACGTCTATCTGTAATCTACGTCAATCACGCGTGCCTACTTTGCATCTCAAAAAGATGGGTTGACCTACTTTTCAAAATTTATGTATTGGACCCTCCTTCCGCGCCGTTTTGATATTTTCTAAACCCACGGACAACCACGAAGATTAGGGGGTGTAATTCAGAGATTAAGCAACAAACGATGTAGCTTCCATAATTTGTCACCCATTTCATATAAAGATCGAGAAATAAGTATAATGAAATAAGAAAAATCTTGAGCTTTTTACTCAAATCTGGGCTTTCGCGAAGAGTGTAATTGTAAAACAAAGTCTAATAAATTTTACTTCGAAAGGGACATAATATTCTTGGTGATCAACGTGTGATTACATTTATTGATTTTTATAATCATTGACTTTGGTAAAATTACTGTATGTTTCGGTATCACTTAATAAAATATAATTACTCGAGTATAGGTACTGGCAAGTTGAACTTTAAGTATACACCACCAACGCGATGTCATTAAACTCAAAGCGCCGGGGAACCAAACCATCATCCGTCTCCCTCGATATTCCGATTCCCTGGGCTACGGAGATCGAATGAAAAAGAGCGCCCACACACGTCCACCGATCGAGAAAACCCCCCCGAGGAAAAAAAAAAAAAAAAAAAACGCGAACCCCACGGAGAAGCCATCGGT